AACCTTCCGAAAGGGAAACTATCAGGTGGAGCCTTATCTCTGACCTTCCCGCTGGGAAAATAAACAGAGTCGACACAAATGTCACCGAAATGGGAAAACAGTTGACAAATTGTTTGGACTGCCCGCTAAACCGACAGTTTAAGGTTACAGAAACGAGTGCGGTCAGTGGTGGTCAATTAAAGAATACTCGACCTCCAATCCTCGTTATCTTTGCCATCTCTTCCCATCTTTTCAGCGGCTGCCAACAGTTTCTTCCGAAAATTCGGCCTCGCAATTATCATTTTGTCTCGAGGACTTGAAGAATACGCGTCTGAAAATTTCTTTAGCATTAGCCAGGACTGTCAGGCTTTGCATTGCTTATATTCTTTTCAAACACCTTTAAAGATAAATTATTAATTTACGTATTGATTTAATAGTCTAATATGATTTTCTGGACAGTTTCTATGGCAGCAGGCTCGATAACCCAAATCCCTTATGCAGCAATAAATGGAGGAGATTTATCAGTATACCCTTCTTGGTATAACTTTATAATGCAATAAAATATCCAGGCCTATGGATAGAATATTTAAAATTATATATATATCAAGTAAAATACATTGTATCTTTAACTAAACTATATAAATAAGGATGAGTTGGATTGGCGATATAGATTGAAATCCAAACTAGGGGGATTCACGCGAGGGCTTATTATCGTCGAGTGTTGTTATAATCTACTAGAGTTGTTTCGAGAAATTAAATTTGAAATAAAATTGCAAAAGGTAAAGGTTTATTTTTTAAGACAGAAAAGAAAAAATGGGAATGGGGATGACTTACATTTGTTTTCTGGCAGCCATAAGAAAGAGTTAGGCAACGATTGCCAGTTTGGAGGGGATCGGATCCCAGACGCATGCGTTAAGTAAAACAAATAAAGTAAATGGGGAAGGTAAGTACACAAGGCTAGCGTGTCGCCAGATGGTAGCGAGCGGCGTGTAAGACGATACGTCGGGAGCATCATTTTTCACCCGGTCTCGACACCGAAATTAGGTCTGCACCACGGAATATCTACTACTATTTCTTTGTCGGAAGACGGGAGTTAGGCCTACTTATTAACCCTAGACGGCCTTTGTGCTTGTCCCCGGCCGCCTTTCCGGCCTGGTCACGTGACGGCACGGGCGATTTGGATCGTTCCGAAAGCGGCACTTTTCGCCCGCTCCGCCCACAAAGCCTGCGCTCCAGCTGCCGAAAAACGGACGAAAGACCAATGGCAACAATACGCAATAAATGCATTAAAAATATTTAGAAAAGAATATTTATAACCCTTTCCGTGTTCTTACGCTTCCAGATGTCGAACCAAGGAAAACCGAATCTTCCGAGATTCCGTTTGTCAAACGTAATTTTCTGGGAAAAGAATGCAAAATTAGAAACACTGGGAGGTTTGAGTAAGCATTTTTTAAACGTGTTTACCTTCGGATTTCGTTTGTATTTGTCGAACGGAATTCTTCTTGACAGTTATTTACTGTCGGCTTCTTCGTTCTCAGATGAATGGCCCCCACCTGTTCCTCCTCACGCGGGACGTTTTGGGAAAGGAGGAGCTGCGAGTTTCTATGGGATTTATATTCGATTAGGCTTTTGCTACGGGTGTGCCTATCTCACGCTATTCATCCGCACACTCGTAACTTATGGAATGATGTAACGTAATTTATCTTTCTTTACACGGGCAACATCATTAAAATCAAATTGGGATTTCTTTTATACGGTTCATTTCTTTCTTAAATTATTGTAAGAAAGAAAAAATAAATATCTGTTTTTACTTTTTCGGTTCGACGAAAAGAATTTTCTTCGCAAAAAAGACTTTAAAAGTAATAAAAAGTCATCGATAAGTGTCGAAAAGATAAATAAAACGAATTAATTAATATAATTATTTTTGAAATATTACTAACGAAGAGCGCCTCTGGTGGTAAGACTAATGAAAACGATTAAAAATTATCTTAGCAGTTTGAAAGCGCAGATTCGGAAAAATACGAATGTGATTAAAAATTAATATACTAATTTATTACTAATGTAATTAGCGTGGAGTGCGCATAATAATAATAATATTGGAAAAGAGAGAAAATAAAAATTTAAATAATTGAAAAACGAACATTTCAGTAAATTCACGATCTTTCATCGTTTTCTTTTCGTTTTTTCCGTTGTTCTTTTTCCTTATCGCGAATTCTGATAAACCGAAAAAAAAGAACAGTCAGCTGATTGGTTGCCACCATTTACAGATGATTAAGAAGATACGTATTTGTTACGTCATCTGATATTTACATTTCTATTCCTATCAGTGGAATTAGAATCTTTGAAATGTTCGTCTCTCTGAATTTTTAATGTTATTGGCGCGAAGAGTTCGCGGAAAGAAGCATTGATTATAATTAAATTTAGAATTGATGTTGACGAAAGCGAACATTGAAAACTCGGCTGTATCTCACACTGGCAGGCCATAATGGGAACCAACGTACTGACGCCTCAGAATATGGTGATCGAGATTTTTATCTTAATTCATTACACCCTTATCGACATCCATCGTGAATTATATTGAATTATTGAAGAAAACTTTTCTAGTATATATTTCTACAGAAGACTTTTCCTCCTAAAATATATTTACTACTACAGAATTTTTCCTCAATGGGTAACTTAATTTACAGAGTATTCAGCTTTCCTGTCTTGTCTTTGAAGTTATTTTACTTACTCTTATGCATTATATGCTACGAAAATACATTTCTACGTAATTCTAGGAACCATTTTTTTAAAATTTATAACAATGGCATAAACGTAAAACTGTATTTGTTCTATTTAGTTAACATTTTTAAGGGCATCTTTCTTCAAATAATAATTTAAACATAGATTTTTTTCTATCATAGGTCTATATTACCAATTCGAAGATGGCGGAGTTACGAATGTGAAAGTCAAAATCTTGTTTAATATTTCTAAATTAGAATTTAAATACGGAATTTTATTACCTCATCAAATAAATTTATACGATTAATAAAAGGATATTAAAGTATTTCTGTGAGATTTATGAGTCGAAGCGCTCCTTAACATACTAATTAATTCTATTCGTTCTATAACTAATGACATGGCGCTTAATTTCTCGTTAGAGTTAAAATATATTACTTTCTTTCTCGTGTCGCTCGATTGATTTAATGGAAAAACGTTTAGGAAGTGGTGGCATCGTGCCGAAAAATCCCCAGGGAACTTAGTCAATGTCACTCTACGGATCGTCTCCGGCTTTCCATCTTTCCGGTTGTAACATTGTTTTCCATTTATTTTTCACCACTCTTTATTAAATAACTTATAAGCTAGAAAATAAGTTACTGTAATGAAATGTAAAAAATGGCTGAAAAAATGAATTATAATAGAAATCGATAAATGAGCAGCAACATTCGGAAAAACCGAATAATTTGCGGCTCTTAACTGCTCAACATTTGAATAAATAGAATGTCTTTTATGTCTTGTTTACGTCTGTATATTAATCACATTATATATTTTATTGATAATTTAAGTATTGGCATTCATTGCGGTCCCGTGTTTTAGATTTATACTATATTTATCCAAATTTTGCAAGAAAATTGGAAAAGTTAGACTGTGCATCCTACTCTCATAGATTTCGTGTTGCAAAAAGCAATTTGAGACATTGCTACGAAGCTATAAAAATCGCATTATCTAAAATACGGTAAATCGAAAGGTGATTTAATTCAGCCATATTTTTTTCTTTCAATTATCCGGGGGTAATGTCATTTTTGATATGGATCTTACCTATTAACAAGGTTATGACAATGCAAAGGCCCACGTATGCTCGGAAATAAATAAATATATATATATATATATATATATATATATTTCTTCTTTTTTGTTCGACCAAAAATAAACTGACATATCTTGACATTCACTTACGTCCACACAAACGCTTCATTGTATATTATCGATATCAAAGACAGTAGAAAAAAAGCGCGAGAGGGCGGAAAAAAGGAACATCATTAACAAACGTTAAGATCGGTAGACGGATTTTGGAGAAAAAGACTTGTATCTGTCTCCTGCAGTTTCCAAGAACTAGTAAACCCAATATCCTTTGAGGGAAGAAGAGAATCATTCACGAGCATCCCCCCGTCGTACTCCCCCGTTCCCCCGTGGCCCTTGTAATTGGCTGCAGGGGGAGATAGTTGGATCTGAAATGGCCGGATCACGTGTGTAACGATGATAAAAATTATCTCAACGCCTTGTTGGTGTCAGGGTATTTATAGTTTTGGATATCAACAGACTCTCATTAGGGCTTTACTTGACATGACGGGTTACCTTTAGTCGGGTGGAAGAGCTCTCCGGTGGTCCCATTCACCAAACTCGTTCTCAAACCGCAAACCAACCGCTCAATCTTTGGTATGTTGCGACGAAAAGGTGGGACGGGTGGCGATTGTCGGCACTTATCGCCAACCCCAGACGGTTTTTCGTACGGAAAATTAAACAAAATTAATCTAAAAATTTAAAATAACTTTGTGTACTTTCGTTACATCTCTACTTCCTAAATTCGCGTGGAAATTCTTGTCATTTAATAAAAAAAACTAAATTTTTGATACAGCAAAGTGTAAGCGACCATCGATATTTACAATTTTGGCTATTATTCGGCGAATTATAATTTTACACAAAATAATTTGGCTCTTTATACTAAGATGGCCGCGTACTGATTATTATTTAACTAAACATTTTTTTAACTCTACTTGTACGAAAAGTAGAAAAAAATTCTCTCTAAACGATTTTAGGATTAGCGATAAAATAATTAACACAATTAACGATTTATAAAAAAAAATAATAATAATAATTTAAGAGCAAACATTGGCGTCGACCAATAAGAAAACGTTTTATATCGAGTAATAAAAACGTCCGGCGCCAAATTTAGCCACGTGGGTTACAGAAGGGACAAGAAGAATTTTGTAAACACAAAGTTTTATTTTCTAGACAACTACATAGAGTAGGTCAATAAATAACACCCATATTCTTACAATGAAACAACAATAGAAGATCAACTAATGGAGATCAGCTTCCAATTGAACCAATATCGATAGATGGGAAGCTTCGTAAGTTTACAATAATAATAATAATAATAATAAAACTAAAAATTATAGGAATATGATTGGTTGCATCAACGATATAAATCTTATTTCGTGCAACATTTTCCACTCGCGACAAATTAATAAACGGTCTGCGAACATTTTCGATAGGCCTACGTTTAAGGTGCGAAGAATAGTTCTTCACTTCCCTACAGCTGTTCAATGGAGTGTAAATCCTAAGCATTTCGTTGAAAATGTATGAGGTGAAATGAAGTAGAAACGTTCGAGGTATAATTCGGTACAAAGCTGATCCTGTTTTAAAGTATGACTTTTGATTCGATAATAGCCTAATTCTACATCCCCTCGCTCCAATTATAACAGGATTTAACAATAAACAACTTCATCGTATTAAAATATTGAACTTCTTTTGGTCAGTTTGAATGACCTTTATAGGATAATCTTATACAGTTTGCTCAAAATCAATGGAAGGATTGAATAATTTTCTAACTAAATTGCTGGATTTTTTAATTTTGGATCGTAATTATGGATTAAATTTCTTAATTACGAAATAAATAGAAGTTCGATTTAATATTTCTTATGGATTTTTATCTCTATACCTGTAGGTGATAACATTAATTGCTTTAGACCCGTTTTAAACGATTAGGCCTTCTACAAAATATCGAAACATTTAATTGTAGAAAAGATTGCTTCAAATTTATTTTGGAATTCTGATTATATTGCTACAAAATAATAATTATTGAAATATTTTCATTTTGTAGTTTCTTAGCCGGGTCACATTTGTATTTTTAAATCCTCCATGTGCAAAGTGTTTGATTATCTTTGAAAAAAGACACCTTAAGATGCGAGAGACTGTGCAAGTTTTGGATATTTCTATATTTTCTTTCAGATCAAACTAAAATTTAAAACTTCTCGATTTCTTAAAACGGTGTTGACTCTCAAAATGTTAAATTTTACTAGCTAATACCATTATTTTTTAATTTAAAAATATTTCTCGTGTGTAGGCTACTTATCGACAGTATTAATAGAGAACCCGAATAAACTCAAATGTTTTTATTTCATTCCCTAAAAAATAAATTATAAAAGAAAGAAAGTGTCTAATCAAATGAAGAACCTTAACGTTAAGTTCCCGTAATAACATTTATATACGTTAAAGGAAGTTAAATACAGTATTAAGGTTTTTTCCCCCTTTTTATACATAAATAAAGAGAAAAAATACGCAAGAATCGTTTACACTCTACAAATTTTGTTTATAAAGTACCAAAAAATCCAAATTCATTTGGAATGTAAAGCCAAGCAATAATGCCATTTTGGTCCTGATTTCGTCTTGTAAAATAACAAAAATTTGAAAACTTTACTACTAAAAAAAATGACTTTAAATTTAACCTATCTGATTTTCGGGACGTCACTAATTTTATTTTATTCTAGTAATTCTATTTTGCAAGTTTAAAAGGCTCGATGCTAAACTCCAATATCCAAATTTGGCTTAAGTCTCCTCTTTCCACATTGCAAAACAAGCCTAAAATTTGCATAAAATTAATTAAAATACTGTAAATTTAGTAAATATCGGTTCAGTTAGTTCTCCATTCAAAAAAAGTTACCTGTAATTACATTATATCGTATCAAAGGCACATTTTTGAGTTAGCTTAAAGATATCGGATAGATAGATAAACTTAATTAATATACAGATTTTGTAATATTATAATTTTCTAGAATAGCTTATCGCTATGTTATTCTAATTACTAAAGAAATAAGGTCTATCCGAAAATCTAACTAGAAAACGAGTGAATTTGCCGATTACTCTTGTAGCGGCACGCGTGGATCGGATTAATTCACGTCGGAGTTGGTTGATTTGCGAGTGGTTTACTTAACGTACATCCCGTTCTATAAAGTACAGAAGAGGATCACAAAGACCAAGACTTGCACCACGTTCAGATTGCTGTAGAAGGCACCGTGGATGTCAGACCGTGAGCCGTCACCAAACTTGGTATAGACGGTGGCGAGACGGACCCGTTCGAACCGGGATGGTGATGATGATGATGATGGCTTTGCAAGTACATGTAGTAATTATAATTCTGCGCCGTGGCCAATTGTCCGAAAGGGGTGCTACCCGACACGGTTACGGATGCCGTGGGGTGCGAAGGACGAAATCCTACGGCTGCGGAGTGGCCTAGAAGATCGGTGACGGCGTGCGGAGAGGGCCAACTCCTCAGTGCCGTGGCGGGACTCCCTCCGTTGGCGATGCCCGGTACGGTGGTAGTTTTGGCATTGGCCGTCATGTTGAGAGCCGGCACGGGGGTGTTCGACTGAGACGCTTGAGATTGGGGCGGAGCGGCGGCGCAAGGATACGGGTAAATGGGATTGTACAGGTGTCTGTGATGGTCTTTGACGGCCGAGTCCACGAAACAGTGTCCATTGAGATGTCCCGACACCCCTATCTTGTTGCGTAAAATGCGGCTGATGCTACTAACCGATGGCACATTGTATTTGTCACAGATTCCGTCCGCTAGGAGACGATCCCTGATTTCCCAAGCGAAGATTCCCGGGTCTTTCTGCTTCAATTCTCTTATGTAGGCCACCACTTTAGGCGTAGTGACTCTGGGTTTGCTTCCTCCGATGGCACCGGGCAAGATGGAACCCGTTTCGTGATACCTGGCCAAGATTTTCGACACGCATCCGTGCGACACCCGCAACTGTCGACTAATATCGCACGGACGAACTCCCAATTGAGCCAACTCCACGATTCGTAATCGTATGGCATTCGGTAATGGACGTCCGTTTACGAAGACTCCGCCCAACTGATTGACTTCGCCGTAGGTTTGGGTATCTGGAAGGAAGAAAACATTATTTAAAATGAGAAAAATATAGAAAACCATTCTAAATTACTCATTGTATAACGTATAAACTTGTGAGCAATTCAGAAAATCTAGTAGATAAGACCATATTACTCTTAGGCCTGTATGAACTTCTCAACACTTTTGATAGTTCGATTAGACTAAAATAAGTGTTTCAAATATAAAAACACTGATATTTTAATATAAAAACACCAATTAAATTTTATTTTCTATACTTTTACACTCCAGAGATTCTTTAATAGATGATTTCATGCTCACATCTAGTCACACTTCGTGAGAAAGCTCGCTCTTGAAGGACATTCAAAGAAACATATTCTAGTGGAAAATTATAAATTTTTAATATTTTACACTATTTAAATTGACTTTTACAACGACTAGGCTTTAATAAATCACTCTGCAATATGAATTTAAAAAATAATTAATGTAAATCTCACTAGGAACTTCTTAGAAACTAGGAATGCAATACACTGCAATGAGCTGATTATATTTTTTAATTAGTTATAGGCCTATATCTTAATATAATTCTAATTTTATGTAAATGAATAAAGAAATCTGTGAATCAAACACAATTTACATAAACTTTGAAAGAAATAAAATCAAAAAATTAAATTCTGTTAAAAATTAATGATATAATTCGCATCATGTCTACGCATAAATTTATATTTATTTTATTTTATGACTCGTATAAAAGGGTGAAAGTTTAATTTACTATTTATAATTGTCCTAAATTGTAGGACTTTCTAATAGGAACAAAGTCTTTTTTTTTCTAGTTTTATTAATTTATTTTATTCTTTCTAAATTTACAATATTTAAATTTCAAAACTTCTTTAATTCTGTTCGTTTGGAGTTATCTAGAATCGTTATTATAGATTTTTTAAAATCTATAATTTATCTGGAAGCGTAAAATCTTGATATATTTATTTTATAAATGTAAACGTTCCTTTCTAGTGGGTACAAAATCATTACGAAGTGCAGTTTTGTACTACAATTTCCATCGTTAGATTGCTATTTTATCGAGGTTTATTGCGCGGAAAAGTTAATTTAAAACACCTTTTAGAATATTTTCTTCTTTTTATAGACTGGAGCCTCCTTCCCTACGGGAAACAAAAGGTGATAGATGAGACCCACGCTCTGATTTCAATCCCATTCGTAGTTATGCCAACGAAGAGTAACCTGTAGCATCCGATTTTCATTACTATAGTTACTTTTATTCCCAAAAGAAAGTTATACATCTATATTCTATTGTCTCTTATTGTAATTTTACATCGAGTTTTTTCTATTGTTGGCTTCTATCTTGATTTGATGAAGTAATCTTCATTATCTTCACTTTTACCAATAAACAATATCATCATCATGTTTCAGACGATTATAGGAAACATGATGATCGATCACATTGTTCAATTTATTCATCTCTACCTTAATTTTAAGTTGAAGGGTGGATTTAGAGCTTCTATACTTAACAAAACTGTATTTTTAAAATGATCTTCTAACTGAATTTTCTTTTTATAAGTTAATGTTTAGAGTCTATTACTGTTTGAATTTTTTAAATATTTTCTTTCTCTACATATTTTAGAAAAGTTTTTCGTTATAAAAAAACAAAACTTTAGTTAAATAACATGGAAATTATCGTGTTTTAATGCGAAATACAGCTTAAATTATTAATTTAGGTTATAAATTGAGTTTTATTTATAATATCTTGTGTACATTATATTTAGCTTTACATTGCCTATCGTATATATATCATCTTAAACTTTTTTCATAAGAAATTTTAAAAAAAAGACAAAAAAGATACTGCTTAAGGTAAAAAACTTGGTGGAGAGATGACACAATCTCTGAAATTTTATCTAAGAAGTTTACTGTCCTGTCTTTTTGTTAGGTCAGCCTACATCCAACGTATCTTTTCCTCACTCAACTTTATCAGAAAAGCGAAATTATATTCTCCTTCACTCCTCTCTTAACAAGTTTCTAAGCTTCATAACAGTACAAAAATTACATTTCATCTCTTCTAAACTTCTAATTTGCTTCTAAGTTATGCCTAACAAATTTACTTTTGTTTAATTAACATAATAATTTAATTCTCAACAAATACTTTTTTTCCTAAGAACTTGTAGTTTCATTATAGAACATTTTATTTTGCAATAAATATACTAATTTATAGAATATTTTATCTGTTTTTTTTCAATTTTTGATGGGCAAAACATTAATTATTTTCATTTTTATCCACTTCTCCTAAGCAATGAAGTGTAATTATATAAATGTAAGCTGACATTTATCACAAGTTCACAGGTTATTTTTCTTGGATTTTAAGTCCATTTTATAAATTAATTAATGTTTTCTGTTCTTATACTATTTAAAAAAACGCATTAATGTTTAACTATAGTATTTTTTAAATAAATATAACCATAAAAACTCATAAAATTAATACAATCTTTCAAGACACCAAACTTAAGTTTTAAGAAGATTATAATTTTAAATTGATCTTAATAATAAAATACAATTTTTAATCTATTTTTTAAGATTAATTTTATGGTTTAATATATAAAATATATTTTATATAATTATATAACTTAATTATCATCATCCTAACAGCATCAATTAAAAAAGATTTCAATACTTATCTAATGTTTTATATCTGCTTCTAGTTAAAGTATTTAATTCTGAATAATAACTTTAAAATAGCCTAATTAAAAAAGAATTATTTTTGAGTATAATAAATAAATTTCCAATCCTTTAATACTTAAAGAAAGAATAAAAATGAATGTGTTAAGTAGTGAGAAGGTGGAAAGGAATTCATGTATAGCATATTAGAAAGTTGGATCTAAGATCTTTAAAGTCATGCAATGCTGTATAAATTATAAAGTTCATGAAGGATTATTAATGATATAATTCATGTACAGGATTCATAATCTCGTCAACAAATATACTGAAAAGATTTTGGAGGAAGAATACCCTTTCTCGATTGAAGAAAGATGGGATTATATCGACTATCCGAAACCTTATGTGACTTATTCCAGATGTAATAAGAGAAAATATAGTCTACCTCTATTTAATTAACTGGGATATAGCGTTAGAATTAATAATAATAATAATAATAAGCAGATGTAAAAGTTAGAATGTAAGTAAACTGTGCTGTTGCAATCGATACAAATGTAAACATTTGGCTCAGGCCTATAAAGTGTAAGTTCTAATTCGCTTAAAAGTAGAAAATTTCTGGTAATAAATGTAATTATTCTGTTTTCATTACAGACTTTAAAGGTGAAATTATTTATATTTATTTCAGATTTTCTAATAAGAATCTTATTTATTAAACAGAACCGAGCTGGAGGAATTGGGTCGACTTTCTGCAAACTATCAATGAATCCACCTGTTTGCAATCACAAACTTTGCACCGAAAAATGCTACAGAAAAGGTAAGAATAGTTTAATTTGGTAACATTTACTTTTTGATTTTTGTTAAATATCTTACTACAAATGAATTTAATCCAGTGACGCGTTATATCTTCAAGGGGAGCAGACAAATTTGAATTAGGAGCCCCGTGTACAGTGTTGACTTCGGACATTTTTCTTCCGAGAGAATTGTTTTGGGGGAAATATTTTCTTATAAAAGATTGATTTGGGGGCCCCAGACATAATGCGCCATTAATTTTATCATAAACTATAATGTTTCTCCTCATTTTTTTATACCAATACTATTGACATAACTTCCAATACTCTACACCTGTACTTAGATTAATCATTTTATATTAAAATTGTTTTAATATTCTTTAAATATTTAATAAGTAATTAGGGGAGATCGGGGCAAGATCGGCATGTTAAGCTTTACTTAAATTTTGTGTAATAAATACTGCTGTAAACTGAAAAAAAAAGCTTTGCATATTGTCTATTGGAATGTTACCTTACTATAGAACTGGTTAAAATCAGTTTGGAAATAAAAATAATTAAAATAATTACAACTTTACAAGAAGAGAGAAATTGACGAAGTTGCCCCGGGTATAGGGGCAAGATCGGCAACTTCTCTCTTTTTGTAAAGTTGTAATTATTTTAATTATTTTTATTAAAGTTGCCCCTGGTATAGGGGCAACAGTAATGGGGCAAGATAGGCACGTATATAAAATTATGTTATTAACAATGTATAAGTTGGAATTCACTATTAAAACAAAGAAATACAAATCCAACACCCATTTAATATTATTACAACGAAATGCAAGTTCAAAGACATATATACATGAATAACAAATGCAAACATGTTTTCATTTATCATCTGTTTGATTTTTATCCTTTGCTTCTAATGTGGCTTTATGTTGCCGATCTTACCCCGCTAGTCATGATTTCGAAACATTAAGTACAACCCTGAGAACAGAATGCCAAGCCACGATCTGGCCACGTGAATAAGTTGAAGTTACATCCTTCTAACAGGAAAAGTAACTTTCGTTATCATGGAATTATAACAAAACCTGCCAATTCAATATAAATGGAAAAAAAATATTATATGGAATTGAACGAAAATGAAAATTTGCTTGATAATTCAACTACGCTTGTTGGAGAACAATAAAAACACTACACTCAACAAGCCACCAATAAAACTCAACTGCCTAACCTATAACCAAAGTCTCCTTTTAATTTGTTTTTTAAAAAAAGCGCTTGACAAACTTGCCCCGCCTGCCGAAGTTGCCCCGATCTCCCCTAAATTATACGTTAAAAATCACAACTTTCTTATGTGACATTATTAATTCATAACCAGATATTTTATATTCATTTATTTCTCTTTATAAGATGTATTTTTGTATGGGGCTACTAATTTCAGATCATTGACATAAAAAAAATATGATTCGAATATTTATTTATTGATTTATGTCTGTATAAATTACTTATATAAAATAATAAATTTTTAACCAAGTTCCACGCCTTATAAGTAGTTTATAACCTATCTTCTATACGCGACTCGCTCGATAAACTATGTTGTAACGATTAAA